AATACAGGCTTCCTTCTGCAAAATATCAGATGTAGATGGTCTCGGTTCTGATACGTAACACGACTCGGCTTCTGTTGTGGTCCGTGGATGTTTTAGCCCACAGTCAAATTCACTTAGCGAAAGTTAGTAAAAAGGCATGTCTGTGCAGTAGGTGAAGTGTGGATACTGTGGATAAACATGCTAGTCAAGTTGTAATAAGTTCTGCTTAGAAGAACAAAACCAAACCCTTACGCTGTCAGCAACCCGCAAGATGATTTATTCGGTTCTACTATCCACCGAGGCTCTCGGAAGTGACAGAAACCAGCACTCCCGCAAAATCTCTTCGCTGCTGCATTCTTACTAATTTTTATCTGTCATTTTAAACCGAACTTGTATCAGGCCACGAAGAATCTCTCTGTGGGTTTTTTATTCTCTTGGACATATTTACCAGGCGGTGCCTCGCTCTCTGGAAGTGCAGGACCAGGGCTTTTTTTTTTTTTTTTTTTTTTTTTTTTCTTTTCCTTTGTGTGACCCAGATTTTTATTTGCTGAAGTTTTAAAGTATGCTCACCTATTGATTATGCATGAAGTTTGAAATTTACTGCTGTGCGAGAGGTCGCTACAAAGCTCGTGCACCAGCTGTAATGTTAGGCCTAGAACTGTGATTTCCTGGTACACAGTGGTGCTGCTGGTGGTTCTGAGGGTTAAAATTCACTTACATCCTAATTTTAAGCCTTAACTAAGTTTCCTGGTTTTCAGAAATGCTGGTCACTCACGGCTGCAATTGATTTCTCTAGGAATTAGGTTTGCTCAGCACTTAAATCGGGGTAGGTGATTATCTGGGAGTGACTTGATGTGAAAGTAGGCACTTCTGTCTGAAAATTTTAGACTATAGGAATGTGATTTGATACACATGATGATGTTCTAATAAAATTTGTGCTTGAGGGGAATGTAGGCGTAGGGCCATAGTTCTAAGTAAGGGCAAAGAAGTATTTGAGTCATTCATTTTAAGTTTTTTTTGTTTCTGTAATTTTGCTTAAAATAGCGTTTTTAAGTAGCATTAAGTAAAGGGGGGGTTAAACGCTAATTTAAATATTGGAAAATTAATACATACTGAAAGGAAAAATATTTGCATAATACTGATATTGTAACTATTGGCACTTGAGTTTCTACAGTTCTAACAATACTATGAGCCAATTCCTTAAAAAAACCAAAAATTGTTGTTACTTATACGTGATTTTCAGAATAATGGAGGCTACGTCATGCATTTTGCTCCCTGGCTCGAGAGTGGCATGCACAATGGGAGGGGTTTTTTAGGGTCTATCTTAGAACAAGGTTTACTTTCCTTTATATATTCCTTTTGCTGGCTGCCATGGAGGCTTGCAGAATTACAGATCCATTTAATAGCCACGTATCCCCGCCTAGTCTGATCCCCTTCCTCTGTGGCAGAAACGCTTCCCATTCAGTTTCTGCACTACTTCTCTCCCTGCTCAGCCCGTCCTTCGTGTCTCCTCAGGTGGCTGTACAAGCAGTTTGTGCAGCTGTGAAGGGGCAAGTCAGCGCCCGGCCCCTCCGAACTGCTGCTTCCTTCTAAAGCATCCTGTGTTACGCTGGATGATGAAGAGAAACCCTCTTAGCACAGCAGCCTCCCTTGCTTTGCTGTCCCTGTAGCATGGCAGCGGGAGGTCCGTGGAGGAGCAGAGCTGTGATGAGCAATTTCCACGGGGTTTATGTCCTGCCTACCACCACCATGTCCTCCTTTCAGGACCTCTCTGGTTCCCCTCCTCCCTTGCTGCCCCCTTCCCTTTTTTCCTTGCAGGCCCCTGGGTGAGGGGCAGCTCATGGTTCTGCTGGCACTGGCCACGGGGCTGTGGCCAGCAAGAGTGGGCGGTTGTTGTGCTGACGTTGCCAAGCCATTCCTTTCGGGGCAGGGCGGGGAGCAGTAATTTGGGTCTCTTCTAACTGCTGACCGGTTTTCTCTCAGAACCCGTAGGGCTGTCGTATCCGTGAGACCTTTTCCCTTTGGTTTGATTGAAATTGGACACGTGGTTGAGAGATGATGGATGGGGCAGGGAAACGGGGCTGGCAGGCAGACAGAGAGGAGGATAGACAGAGTGAGCGGATACGCCTTGTTTCCTTAGGAAATTAGGAAATTTCCTTAGGAAGTCGCGCTGTCCTGTCATTTATTAATTTTACTTTTTTTTGTATATGTCTTTGCTAGTTATGGAGACAAAAGGATACCACAGCTACCCAGACGGCTTAGATATGGAGAGACGGTGGGGTCAAGTTTCTCAGTCTGTGGAGTATTCTTCTATAGGTGCCAGAGAGCAGACTGATGACAGTAACTATATGGAGATTGTAAACGTAAGCTGCGCTGCGGGTGCTTTTGCCAACAGCGGCGCTCAAGGAAACAACAAAGAAAAACCTGAGCTACTCTCCTGCCTGCAGCAAGACAGCAGTCAGCCTGGTCTTTTGCCCTCTGACATCAAAACCGAAACGGAGTCGAAGGAGCTGTCGGCAACAGTGGCCGAATCCATGGGTTTATATATGGATTCGATACGAGACGCTGACTACCCCTACGATCAGCAGAACCAGGGGAGCCCGGGAAAGATCTACCAGAACGTGGAGGAGCTGGTGAAGCTCTACAAGGAGAATGGCCATTGCTCTTCGCCCCTCCGCAGTGCCAGCAGGCCCTTGAGGTCTTTGATGTCGGACTCTGGGAGCGCTGTGAATGGTAGTGCCATGCACGCTATTGTCAAAAACCCTATCATGTGTCAAGAGAAAAGCCCTTCGGGCTGCAGCCCTCAGAACATGGCTTCCTCGGTGTGTAGTCCTGCTGGAGTTAACTCTGTGTCCTCAACTACTGCTAACTTTGGGAACTTTGCCGTGCACAGCCCCATCGGCCAGGGAACCCCTTTGTCACGCTCGCCGAACGTTGAAAACCGGGGGTCTATGTTGCACAGTCCCGCGCACGTTAGCAACGTTGGGTCTCCGCTTTCTAGCCCTATAAGTAGCATGAAATCACCAATTTCTAGTCCTCCCAGTCATTGCAGCGTGAAATCTCCCGTCTCGAGTCCCAATAATATCATGATGCGATCTTCTGTGTCCAGTCCTGCAAACGTGAACTCAAGGAGCTCCATTGCCAGCCCTTCCAATGCCAATAATAGGTCCACTCGTTCTAGTCCAGTGGTTAGTACTGTGGGATCGTCCATCTGTAGCCCTGTAAACAACTCTCTAGGATTCCCGGCTTCCGGCACGCCGGCGGGACCTAGCAGAAGCCAAGATACTGTTCCCAGTCCAGAAACAGAAGACAAGGGTGCTCAAGAACTCGCATTTCCTAAGATAGAGGAAATGGAGAATGCCATCTCCAACAACAGTCAGATGAACCTTGTTCAGTTCATAAAACCTGAGCCAGACGGTTCGTTCGGCAGCGCGTGCATTGGTGATAGCAGCAAAATAAACTCCGATTCCCCCTTTTCAGTACCAGTGAAGCAAGAGTCGGCCAAGCATCCTTGTTCTGGTGCCTCTTTTAAAGGGAATCAAACAGTAAATCCTTTCCCATTTACAGATGGCTCGTATTTTTCTTTTATGGATGACAAAGACTATTACTCTCTTTCTGGGATTTTAGGACCACCTGTTTCTTCGTTTGATGGAGGTTGTGAAGGTAGCAGTTTTCCAAATCCAGGCCTACCTGTGGGAATTAAGCAGGAGCCTGACGATGGCAGCTATTACCAAGAAAACAGTATACCATCCTCTGCCATTGTGGGTGTAAATTCAGGTGGACAGTCATTTCACTACAGGATCGGTGCCCAAGGCACAATATCTTTGTCGCGGCCGGTTGCTCGGGAGCAGGCATTTCAGCACTTGGGCTCGTTCCCTTCCGTCAGCACGCTAGTGGAGACCTGGAAGTCGCATTCGGAGTTGGCATCCAGAAGAAGTGATGGGTATCCAGTTCTAGAGTACATTCCAGAAAATGTGTCCAGGTAAGCAGGCAAATTACTACTTCCCCCTCCACCTCCCTTCTTTTTTTTCTTCTTCCCCTGCATTAAACAAACAAGGCGTGAATTAAAATGGGGACCGGGGTGGTATTTCTCAAGCTGATGCGTAATTATCTCTTTGCATTTCAGTTCTTACCATTAGATTTGCTGGTTTCTACTCTGCCTTTAATAAAAATAAAGTGCTGGCTTTAATATTTAAAAAGAACATATTATATTCTATTGTTATTAGATTTGAAAGTGTAGCTTTAGCATGTTTATGATCTCTTACTACTATAAATGTTGTTTTTCCCATAATGAGAGCTTAGTAAAATTGCTCTCATGTGTCCTATAATGGTTATTCTTTCTTAGCTGGTGCTTGGATGTGTTGTACCTCAGGTGAAATGTTGAGATGAGGATAAGAAAACGATAGTGTCAGGAATCTGTTTTTGTGAAGATGCGTGGTTATAAGTTTGCACTGGACTTTAACTGGTTAAGTTTAAAAACTAAGCCTTACAAGCCCGTGGCAACATATTATTTCTGTATTTTAACTGGAGGAACATTTGGTTTGTATATATAGAAAAATGCCTCCAGAAGGAGGAGGGCTGTTAAAACTTGACGCATTTGAAAGGGATAAATGGATAAACTGATCCCCTCACTTTTGGTGGAAGAAAAATATGCAAGTGTCGTTTGAATTTGTGTTTCTTGGCTGATTTGTGGAAGCATGTACTTCTTCAGCAAACAGGTGTTCGTGTATCTCATGAAGGACGCTTACTTTCATAAACTATCTAGTTTCATTGTCAGTATTACAAGTTATTAAGTGCATCTTGACAGCACAACTGAGTTAGAATAGTTATGTAGCTTCTTTGTGTGTCAAGCAGGCTCGCTAAAGGTTTGTGTTAAAGCTCAGCGAAATAGCCAGTAACAGAATTTGCATTTACTTTTCTCAAGTCTTTTTTTTGTCATGAGATGCACAACTGCCCTCAGTGAATGAAATGTCTGCCTTATTCTTGGAGTGGGGTGAAGAGGATGCGTAGCGTTTTCCATATTTGTATGATGCTAAATATTTCTGAAAAAACAGTCTTGCTGCAAAAAATATAATACCTAAAATAAAGGTGCTTTTGAGGAGGGAGAACAGCCTATCTACCCAGGAGGAAAAAAAAGACTTTAAATATTTCTGGTTTATTCTCAGATCTGTCCAATACCTCTACAACCTCCTTATCGTTTTGCAAGCCATACTTCACTTTTTCTTTGGCCATTTCAACCACGGTCTCTAAAGAATGCACTTTTTAATATGTCTTTCTCAACTTGAGAGGGCTGTATCCCACCTTCATGCTGAACTTTGCATGTAGTTGGATATTTGTTAGCATCCAGGCTGGGCTTAAACGTGCTTTCTTGGATCAAGGAAGGGGAAGTTACCGTTTTCTAGTCATTGTACCTGATGAAATTTTCATAAATTGCATTATATATATAGTGAGAAAAGTTCACCAGAAGACTGATGGGATGCCTGAAAATAAAGACCCAATACTTTACTGCCTTTGTGGTTGAGCGCTGTTACTTGGGCAAGTAGCTCCTGCCCGCCATGAGCGCTCTTGCGTGAGTAAGTGCTGCTTGTGCTGAGTCAAGGCTGTCATCCGTTGCAGGGACAGGCACAATAAACAGGGAAGTGCTGGTAGGACCATGGTTGTCGTCAATAGTTGTGTTTTGAATGACAGTTTCTCATAGGGCTTTCGAAGGAGTCTTCCAATCTGACATCAGTCCCTGGCAGGTCTTGTCACCTATTTACCTTTAGACCACTACATGGATAATCTGTGTCATCAGGCTTGATGATGACACAGATATACTTCTCTGTTCTCTAAGCTGGTATCTCAGTAAGATACGCAGGTGAGCATAGCTGTTACTTTGCAGGATTGAAATCCTGACATTTTTAGTGCTCAGAGCTGCTGCTGCATGCGTGGAATTCTCCTCAGGTGATGAGAGATCTGCAGGGTTGCGACACTTCAGGTATCCTGATCTGTAGTTCAGACTGGGACATGTGTCGTCATTTCAAATCTCTTAACTCTGCCCCATTATTTAACTAAATGTTGTTCTTAATCTGCTTGGCAATGGCTTTATGGTAACAGGTGCAGCTGGGGACCTGTGTAAAGCCCTTACAAGTTGCAAGGTAAATTCATGTAAAGGTCATTTTAGCAGTACAGATTTGTATGTGTAGGTGCCTGTTCAGATATTTGTCTGCTGATGACACAAGTCATAAAGACTCGACGTAGGATGTCACACATGTAAAAAGCTCACTCTTGCTAATGAACCTCAAACTGATCTTTACCTTTCTCTTAATTTCTGTGCCATGTTCCAGCTAAAACAGAGGAAATCACACACAAGTTTGTTCATGCTCCAAAGTGTTTTAATGAAACGCGCATAGTTCAAAACTGAGTCAGACCCAACATCCCTAGGTGGGTCTCAGCTGTCCCATGTCAGCATGGTATGGGGATTGCAAAGTCTGTCTTCCTTCATGTCGTCAGAACAGCAGCATTGCACCTCTGGACTCTGCATCCAAACCAGATCCTTGTTACTTCCAGTTTTTCGTCCTGACATGTCAACCATATCAGGCATCATACATTTTGCAAAATTCTACAGCATGTGATTAACCCTTGAAAGTCTACAATATAAAGTTTCCGGTATTCTAAGTCTTAATCTTTTTTCAGGGGTACTTACCATGCAATGTAATTCACCATAAGTAAATACTAAGGTGAAGGGAAAAAATAGGCTGCATGGTTCGCTGAAGGCAATAGATGACCAGCATCGAATATATCTTGTTTTGGCAGCCTTATTTTCTGAACCTCAATATCGCACCCTTTTTTGACTGCTTCTGACTTGCAGCTTACATTGTGAAAAGGAGTGGGTGACCAGGAATGAAGAAGACTTTTCACACTGAGAATGAATATTTAGAATATTACTGTAAAAAATTGGGGTTTTTTTTCCTATTAGAATATCACCTTTCTTGAGTCAGTTACACTTGATGACACTGTATAATAAACATAGTTTAGGCATTTAAAATGCCTTGCTACGTTATTGACTCTGCCAAGTACCCACTGTCAACTAGAACATTTCTCTTTTTCTCCTTCAGTTACTTTTATTAGATCTCCACAGTTACGGTTCTTTTTAAGTTAGTTGGTGGTAACTTTGTAACAATTACAACTTGTGGTGTTTCGGGAGCCTCTTAAGCAAAACCAAGTTCCCTTATTCCCTTTTAAATGTTTTTCTTCTGCTAATAGGCATGCATAGCATGTCTTTGTCTTTGAAGGATTTTTACATGTTTAATTTTTAATAGAGGGTGAATCATACCTGACTGTCTGTGTGTATAGATCCCCCCTCCATGACTGACATTTCTAAGAAATAATGGTTTCTAAACTAAATAATAGCCAAGTGGGCTTGAAAAAGAAGGTATGTGTGATTTGGTGATGTCAATGATGAAAACCTACACTAAGAATCCAGAGAAGATTTCACTTTAAGGTGATTGCTTATCTGGATCAGGGTACCAGCCTAAGCCTGATGATCATGCCAATTATGCAATTTTCAAAATGGCCTAGGAAAATGTCATGGTTGCTTGAAAGAAAAGTAAAAATTGAGGAGGATGACCTTTCCGCTGCATTAGTTCTTACCTAAAGCTGCTTCTGCAAATGTGCCTTTTCCCTCTAATTTCCATATTAACTCATATATGGACACATACATACTCGCTTTTCTCAGCAGCTGTGGTGGAAACAAAGGGCTGATACCCCTACTGTGGTTTCTTCCTGGCAGTTCCACTGGTGTAATCCAGTCTGGGACGAATTCACAGTTTGATGTGTTATTGTTAAAAAAGTTTATTATTTTAACATAAATTGCATACATTTATCAAAAATTATGTTTCAGTTGTCATTCAGACAAGGAGATTTCAAAACAGTGTTTCATGGTATTTTAGAGTCTAATTTATGTCTGTTAAAAGGAGTTGAAACACTGTCGTTGACTTCTCTGGATTTATGGTCAAGTCTTTGGTCAAACATTGACAGTATTTTAGGGACTTCTTGTACCTATCTGTTCCTGAGCCATTCGCATGGATCAGCATTTTTTTCGTAGACCCTACTTGTAGCAACCCCCCCAAAACCCCACCCAACCCAACACAAAAAACCAACCCAACAACATGATCTTCGTTTACGTGTAACCTTCACTAACTTGAATGGGTGATTCTGGTTAAAATCTGATTTTAGGCTATTGCAAGTATTTTTGTAAATAAACTTTTATGTTAAATATTATCTAGAATAGTCACTTATCAGAATTATACCTTCCAGAGAGATAAAGGTCTGGTAAATATTATTTTTAGAATTTATGAATGGCCTTGACCTCTTGTTTGTTTGCTGATGGACTTTATGGGAAAAAGACTGAGCTGTTAAAATATTCTCCATGCTTGGCAGGACTGTTTTCCCCTTTAACTTCCCACAGATTTACTGTGCAAACTTTTTGCACCAACGATTCTCTGATGTTGTAGACTGTAGCCTTAAATCTGTACTTTTTTTTTTTCCAATTTGAAAAGTTATACTTGTTTTTGTAGGCTCTTGTATAATTTTGTGTAATTTTTAACAGCTCTGGGTATAATCTTGATACAACAGGGACCTCTACATATGTATGTCTTTATTTCTCACTAAAGAAGTTAGGAGTCTGTACTAATATCTCAGGCCAGGAGGTCTAAAGGTTCTCCTTAGCGTACCAGCGTGCATTTAACAGCTTTGTACTTTCTACAGCTTTCTTTGTTGTTATTTTTTTGATGGTGCTCTTTTTTGTTGTTTTGTTCTTTTTATTGAGGAGTTGAAAACCTGTATTTTGAAAATGTGACTGCTAATGATGCCTTATTTTGCCTTAAAATTATACACATCAATTGACTCCTGTGCTGTGGCAGGGAGAAGTCCCCATTGCTGGAAAACTGTGCTCCATAAATGGGTGGATCTTCCAAATCTGGGGAAGTAAGAGCTCTGTTG